GTTATGCCTATTCGGCTCTGATCAGCGGATGACTGCGACAGTTAGTTTTTTAAACTCATTGTAATTACAAAAAAATCTTTCTTTTCTGATTGGTTGCAGTAATGTTGAATATTAATGACTGTATCGTAAATGTTCCATAATACAAATTTTGAAATTTATGAATTATAAGCTTAAAAAAACTCTGTTTTTTTTAACTTAAATTTCTACACATCTTTTTTTGGGTAGGGAAATTTTTACGAGTAGGAAAAAATCCTTACGTTATTTAGCATACTGGATTTGCACACTAAATATATCATATATATTACATTGATATATTTTTGTTAGTAAATACATTTTAAATAACGAAAAATAAATCTATGAAGAATATCTGTAGAGGAATATATATATATATAATTGAATTTGAATCGCATATTTGATAAATGTTTTTTTCCCATTTTTCTTTTATATTTATTTTACATTTATATTTGCATTCTACAAATCTTGCACTTCTAAAAATATATAATTTTTGTTCCTTCGAGTTCATTCTTTTTTTACATTTTTTTACACAAGTTAATTATTAAAAATAATTATATATTTTATAAATATGTGAATAATAATAATGAATGTCTGTATATTCGATGTTATTTCCTTGTAAATTATTATGTCACTTTACATGTAAATACATCATCGAGATCTGCTTCATTTTTATTCTATCGATTTAATGGATAGAATTTTTTCTTGTAATAATTTCTCAAGCTTGCGCATATCAACAGTAAATTTGCGAATGCCTTCGCACAACTTATCGGTTGCCATTTGATCTTCATTTAAAAGCCATCTAAACTCAGCTTCATCTAAGTTAATTTTTTTAAGATCGCATTTCTTCGCTGATTCTACACTCAAAACTTTGTGTACAATCTCGTTGCTCTTTTCCAATTCTTCCAATAAGTTAGGACTTATGGTAAGAAAATCACAGCCGGCGAGTTCTTTAATTTCACCTAATTATCAGAATGTTTAAGTTAAAATAGTAAATAATATGATATACATATTATAATATATATGTATATAACATATGTATAAATAATGTATGTATAAATATGTAGCATAAATAATTTATAATTACGTGAATATGGGTCAAATATTTACCAACATTCCTGAATGAGGCACCCATTACAACTGTTTTATAACCGAACTTCTTATAATAATTATAAATTTGTGTTACAGAAACAACGCCTGGATCCTCTTTTGCTTCATAAAATTTTTTATCTGTATTTGCCACGTACCTAAACAATTTTATTTTTTTATTCTTGTACAAATATATAAACAAATGAGATTAGAACACTTACCAGTCCAAAATTCGACCAACAAACGGCGAAATAAGAGTAACTCCAGCCTCTGCGCAAGCAACGGCTTGGGCAAAAGAGAATAACAATGTCAGATTGCAATGGATTCCATACTTTTCCTCCAATTCTCTAAAAAAAAAAGTTACCAATTATTAACAAGATGTTCATTAATTAAATATAAGATAATTTCTTTTAATTTGGTGTCTTATCTACTTTGCCGCTTGGATGCCTTCCCAAGTCGATGCAAGTTTAATCAAGATGCGTTCTTTGCTCACTCCAAGCCCTTCGTACAAAGCGATTAATCTTTTTGCTTTTTCGATACTGGCTTCCTTATTGAAGGACAATCTGGCGTCTACTTCTGTGGAAACTCTTCCAGGAATTATATTTAAAATCTCTTTGCCAAATAAAACACATGTGATATCAAGGGCTGCTTCAACTTGTTCAGACAAAGTACTGGAAAAGAAAATCTCTACGTTAACATTCAAAAGTTAGATCTCAATGCATGCTCGGTAGCGATACTCTCACTTCCGCCAGTGAGAAAAAATATTTAGTTATGGCTGTTTATGGCCATATTATGCACACGCGGAAAAAATATATGTATAAAAAATATATGTATAAATTAACGCAGCTTATTACAATCTTCCTTCACAAAACTTCTTCCTAATAAATTAACAAATATTTAAAAACTGTATTCTTTTCACAGTTCTATTTTCCATTAAACGGAAAAAATATGATATTTTTTTTCGCAATTTCCATTTTATGTTTCTCCATCATTTCTCCATCGCATGCTTATTTTTTAACATATCAACATATTACTGCTAGTTATAGATTTCTTCATTTAAAAGTAAATTATCGCGATATTTTCATAAACTTTGTATAGGTGACACATATAAAAAGTGCAAGTGTTTTTAATTATTGATATCTCAGTATTGAAATAACTAATCTCATTATAATTGCACAAGAAATTAACGTCTTCCAGTACAATGTAGTTTCAAAAAATTTCAAGAAAAATTTCATTCTGATCATTTTCATGAGTATCTTACCTTTTAAAGTATCAAAAATATATGTAAGATTATCACAATATATTAAGCCTATTTAAATATGCTTTAATAACATTGCAAGAAGGCTGATAGCTTAACGATAATCATAACATGATAAATATATATATATATA